CACTGATGAATGTAACTGTACTGTACAACAGATGAATGTAACTGTACTGTACAACAAAAAAGTACCAATAAACCGTGACAAAATTTAAATTCACAAAAGTAATTATCAATTATCTTGCTATATCAATGATGCATCAATTATATATATATATATAGATATATAGTTTATATATATATGTATATGTTTATATATATTTATATTTATATAAAAAGACTAGTTTGCTAGTATCTTATTGAGAATTTTTGCACCTATGTTTATTAGTGGGATTGGCCTGTAGTTCTCCTTTTTGGTTGGGTCTTTCCCTGATTTTGGAATAAAAGTAACACTTATTTCTAGGAATGAGCTTGGAAGTATTGCTTCCCTTTCAATTTCACTGAAAAGCTTCAAAAGTAGTGGCAGTAGTTATTCTCTAAGTGTTTTGTAGAATTCAGTAGTAAAGCCATCAGGACCTGGGCTTTTCTTTGTTGGTAAATTCTTAATTACATTTTCAATCTCACTGATTGTCATTGCGGTGTCTAGAATTTTTATATATATTTTTATTCAACTTTGGCAATTCATGTGTGTCTAGAAATTTTTCCATCTGTTCTGTGTTGTCAATTTTATTACAATACAGGTTCTTGAAGTAGATATTGATGATCCTCTGGATTTCTGCTGAATGTGTTGTGATTTTACCTTTTTCGCTCCTAATTGCATGCATATGAGTCTCTTTTTTTTTTCCTTTTTTAATAAGGTTGGCTAAAGTTTTATCAATTTTATTTATTCTTTCAAAAAACTGTTGGATTCATTGATTTTTTTATATCATTCTTTTAGTCTCTATTGCATTGATTTCTGCTCTGATCTTTATAATTTCCTCCCCTTTATGAGCTTTTCGTTTGTCTTGCTCTTTTTTTTCCTAGAAGCTTAAGATTTGGCCTTTCACTATTAATCTCCAGTTTAATTGCACTATGGTCTGATTATGTACATGGGATAACTTAAACTCCTTTGCATTTACATGTTTATGTTCTATGAGCTAGTATGTGGTCTATTTTGGAAAATGACCCATGTGCAGCCCAAAAAATGTATAGTCTCATTTTTGGGGTTGGAACACTCTGTAGAAGTCTATTAAGCCCATTTCTTCAAAAGCTTGTTTCAGTTCTAGTATTTTGTTGTTCACTTTTAGTCTTGATGATCTGTCTATTTGTGACAATGGTGTATTGAGGCCCCCCACTACAATTGTATTAGTGCTTATTTGGTTTTTCATGTCCCTGAATGTTTGTTTTGTATAATTGGGGGCATTAGTATTCGGTGCATATATATTTATGACTGTCATCTCTTACTCTTGGATTATTCCCTTTATAAGGGTGTATTTTCTTTCTTTGTCTCTCTTAATTAGTTCAGTTTGAAATTTACTTGGTCTGCAAATAAATTAGCTACCCCTACTTTTTTGCAGGTTTCTGTTACATGAAGAACTGTTTTCCATCCTTTTACTTTCAATCTATGAGTTTCTTTTTGAACTAGGCACCTTTCTTGTACACAGCTTATTGTTGGATTTTGCTTCTTAATCCATTCTATCAGTCTGTTTCTTTTGATCTGTGAATTGAGGTTATTAAAATTGATAGTTATAACTGATATGGTCTGATTTATCCTAGTCAGATTATTTTCCTGTTTTGGGCTCTTTTTAATTTTTACCCTTCTCATTTTAATTTCTTTCCTTACCTTCTGGATTTGTTCTGTTGGGCCTCTTGGAGTTGTGATCTTCATTATCTTTTTTTAGGATATTATTTAGAATTGTCTGAAGTGCTAGTTTGGTATTCATTAATTTTCTCAGGTGTTCTTTGTCATGGAAGTATCGTATTTTCCCATAATTTTGAAAGATAATTTTGTAGATACAGCAGTCTAAGGTTAGAGGTTGTTTTCTTTTAGGACTTGAAATTCACTCCAGGCTCTCCCTGACTTGAGGATTTGTATTGAAAAGTCTGCTGTGATTCTGATGGGCTTTCCTTTGCATGTAATTTGTTGTTTGTTCTTTTTTCCTCTAATTGCTTGTATTATTTCATTCTTCTGTTGAGTTTCTGGGATCTTGATTATTACATGTCTAGGTGTAGATTTTTTGTGATCATAGCTATTTGGAGTTATATAAGCCTCATTTATATGTCAAATTCTTTTGCTGTGTTTGGGAAGTTTTCTATCATTAATTCTGCAAACAGTTTTTTTATGTCACTTGTACCTTCTCCTGCTTTTTCATGGACTCCTATCAGTCTTACATTATTCTTCTAGGAGCTGTTGGATTGATTTCTCACGTTCCCTTACTTGTTTTAAAAAAAAGTCCCTATTTTCATGGTCACTGACCTCCAACCTGTCTTCTATGTCTGATATCCTATCTTCAGATTGGCTCAGTCTGCTATGTGTAATTGCAGTACAGTTTTTAATCTCCTGCATATCTGTTTGAATCTGTTTTGTGGATTCCATTTCTTTCCTATGTTGGGCATTCATGGCTTCTATCATGGTCCTGAGCTCATGTATTTTTTTAATCAGTTTCTGTTCTAGAGTCTCTAATCATATCTTTAATTCTGCTCACCATTTCTGTAGTTATCTCAGAAATTATTTCTGTTTTGAATTTTTCTAGAGCCTCATTCATCTGTTTTGTTACTTCCTGTGCTATCAGTTCAGGATGTCCAGGTGGTTGATTATCAGAATTTTCTACCTCATTTACTTCAGAATTTTCCTTTGATGAATAGGCAGCCTTTGTTTGTGCTTGTGCCTTGCTTGAATATCTTCTCATTTCTATTTTCTTGTTGGTACTGTCCTTGGTTTAATTTCTGGGTTAATACTTCGATCTCCCTGGTATAGCTTGTCTTTAGGTTTTGAGTCTCTAATGACTCTGAGGCAATCTCATTTTCGTTACACCAGGAAGGACAACGATTAAGTCAGTCATACCACGTTAGCCCAATTAATACAAACAGCACCACAATAGCATCAAGCACAGCTTACAAAAATGACAATTTGTGATAGTTATTAATCTATCACCTTTAACTATGTGAACTAAATCAAAATCCAGGCTAGAGCTCAGAACAATGGCCTTTATGGCCTCCTGTGCCTCTGTGGTATGAATCCAGGCACCAGTCCAGCAAGGAGACCAGAGGCCCATGGAAGGGGAAGGCTACAGGTGCTTTAGAATCTGCACCTCTTACAGTTCCGCTGCCAGGCCCAGAAGGGTGGGGCTGTGGTCCCAGGCAAGCTCCAAGGGGCTGCATCTCTCACTGTTCCTCTCTATATGTTTATTTTATTCTCTTTTATAAGCAATATGCTTTAGGTCATTAATGCATTGCACCACCGCAGTAAGTGCCTTAGCCTTGAATATTTCCATGTGGCAAAGTGTCTTTCCCCCAGTTAGACAGCAAGTTCCTCAAAGGTAGGAAGTTCCTTAAACTAATTCCTTACATGTTTTTATATCAGCCAAGGGATGCATGAAGTCCTGTGGTCTACAGGGGAGGAAAAAAATAACATCCATTTTAGCAAAGAATGCATTTGGGTTTTGTTTGTATTTAATTAAAATGGTTTACATAAATGAGTGATTAAATGTATAAATTTGCTCACCTCCAGATTCTCTGGGGTAAAGCTTACAAGTCAATCATTACAAATGTCTTCCTAACTCCTGGCACTCCATCTTGCATTCCAGGTGAGAGCAAACAGCCTCAAGAAGCAATGTTCCAGATAGCAGTTTCCATTAGCAGAGTTTTGACAAGCAGGTGAGCTTACATCCTTGTCAGCTTCCAGCTTTGCAGTCACCTGTGCAGGAGACTTGAAATGCAATCGAAACAAACAGAGGAGATGGTGAATTTTGCAGCCTTACTGTTCATGCACCTATTCTTTTTTATCCTTACTTTGAAATTCTGCAACAGTGAGGCTGATGAAGAGATTCTTTTATGCACCCCAGGCCTCCAGAAAGCTACCATAACACCTCCCACACTGCAGCCTTTTCAGATGCCAGTGAAGGAAAGCAAACACAGATACATGCCCCCCAGAGCTCTCCATAACAGCCCTCTTGAAAGTGCTGTTTGTGAAGCTTAAAATATGTGAGCTTGCAAAGGGGGAGGCATGTACTTTGGAGAAAGGACCACACCAGGATCAGTCACCTTTCATTGTTTCTTCTGGGACACATTTTGTTCAGGAAAAATGTCCTAATGGCTTCTGATTTCAATGCTGCTGCATATCACAACACTATGCCTGAGAAAATACAATGCCATTTCATATGATGATATTGTAGTGAAATAATAGATCTTCAGTACCCTGAGCAGCAGATTGATGGGCAGCATCTATTAGAAACACTGAGCACTGAATATCTAATCCTTCAAAAAGCTCTGTGTATAAGACTGATTTCATGGAAGGAGAGGGAGAGATGCCACAGGCCAAAGTATGATGGGACAAAATACAAGCTTCAGCTTGCAAGACCTGACCTGGCAGAGGCATCAGCAGCAAAGGGATGCATCAGCTGTGGGTCTTTGGGTAAGTCACTTGGCTTTCCTGGTTTTGTTTCCCTTTTAGAGGCAGGGGTTGTGGGACTGACCCTCAGGTCAATGCACTGAGCTACATCTTCAGCCATTTTTATTATTCCTTTTTATTCAGAGAGAAGCTCTCCCTAAATTACTGTTACTCAGGTTTGGGCTCCTCCTGCCTGAGCCTCCCAGAGAGCTGAGATTGCTGGTGTGCTCCACCATACCCACACTTACCAGTTCTAAAATTTTTAAATAATTATGAATTATGTTTATCTACTTCACATGACCTTCCTTCCTTTCCTCCACTTTTCTTTCTCTTTTTTTGCGGGGGGAAGGTACCAGTGTTTGAACTCACATCCTTGTGCTTGTGAGGAAGGCAGCAGAACCACTGAGCTAAGTCTTTCTTCCTTTCTTTCTTTCTTTTTCTGTTTCTTTCTTTCCTTTCTTTCTTTCCTGCTTTCTTTCCTTCCTTCCTCTTTATTCCTTTTTATCTTCTCCCCCCACTTCCTTTCTTTTCCCTGGGGATTTACCAAGCCTGAACTGCACTAGATGATCCGTGGTCATTATTATTGTTGTCATAGTCTTGATGACAGTGAAGAGCTCATGCACAGTTCCATTCAGAGCGGCAGCACAGTGAATCTTCCCGACCTGCACAAAACCCCACACCCTCCTCACAGGGAGAGCAGGAACACCAGGTCCTTTCGCATCTTCCTGACCAGTCAAGTTATTTCAGTTTGCCCTGAAGTTTGCTGACACAGTAAAAGGCAAGACCACGGGAGTGAGTAGGGTTTATGTGCCAAGTGTTGATGAGCTCAGAAAACCCAGTTCCTCACTGTGTAGACAATTTTCACTACCCTCTGTCCAAACATCAGGCTACAGGCCTTCAGATATTCAAATCTGTCACTTAGTCTGTGTTTCCTGCTACTATTAGGAAAGATTAACACTCACTTTGCGGCTTACAGCAGCACCGACTCACTGGCATCCAGTGCTTCCCATCTGATGCCCTTCACTGCACCTCCATTGAGCCGTCCCCGGGCCATGTTCCTTTGTGGGCTCCAGGGGAGAATCCACTTCCATGGCTGTCACTGTCCCTTCTCCATCTTCAAAACCAGCCGCATCAATCCGCCTCTGCTTCTTTTGTGTTTTCCTCTTCCTCTTTTAAGAATCCTGGTGATCCCACTGGGCCCGTCAGGATAATTCCAGACAATCTCCTTCTTTTTTATTAATTTTATTGGTACATTTAATGTATACAATATAATGGCATTCATCATTGGAAATTTGCACCTTTATATATCCTTTTTTTTTATGATACCAGGGATCGAACTTGAGATCTTGAGCCTGCCAGGCAGGCAGCAGACCCACTAGGCTAAATCCCTAATCTGACATAACCCATTTTGGTGCTTATATTTTCCCCATTCCCCTGTTCTCCCTTCAACCCCTCCACCCCTTCCTATCTACGGAGACTTTGCTTCCATTTCTTTTTCTCATATTAATTCCACTCCCTTCTTTCTTTTCCCCTCCCGGTCCCACTTTCCCTTCCCCTTTGCACCTTGTTTTAGGGTCCGCTGTTTTAAGGCCAAGAAAGCGCCTGCTAACTTCAATCCTCCACCACCAGTTGCCTGGTGAGATCTTGAATTCATGGCTTCCATGGATGAAGATGAAGAAAGTTCCACGTGGCCATCACGGTTTGCATTCAGAACTTCTCCAAGTAAACAAACAACTTGAAAGAATGAGGCTTTGCCATCAACAAAAAGGCTCTCTATTCATTCAATGAGTGCTTACCATGCTTCACTTTACATTGATTAGTACAATTAAACTTCAGATCCATGCCCTTTGTTTGTCTAATGGAAGGATCTGCTCCGTCCTCTATCCCACTCCCTTAGTCACTTATAATCCCGAGCCCCATGGATAAAGAAATTTTGACAAAAGAAGATAAATCAGTGTATGACTGAGAAAGTTAAAAATGTTAGAAAGCATGATCTTATTTCCTCTTATGTTTATTGATCAGTGTATATTTATTATTCATTCTGCTAGATGCTTCTTATGTGTTATACTATATAATTCTTATAAAACTCTACATAACAATATTGTATGTTAAAAAGATTAAAAATATTTAAGAATTTAAAGAAATTGTTCAAGGGAATAGACTAGTAAGTGATGGAATTGTCCTTTGAACCCCATCTGCCACGTTTAAAAGTGTATGCTTTAAAACACAACAATGACTGTGTCCAATGTACTGTGTTACAAGGCAACTGGTATAAATTAAAGCTTGGAAAGATTTTACACTTAATTTAAAACAAGACATTCAAGGCACATCGAGATGTGTGCGCGAACTCCAGTGACGATTTGTGATGAAGAAGGAGGTGGAAGAGCAGAAGGAGGAAGCACAGAGGGAGAGGGAGAACGAAAAGCACTCACTGGAAAGAACTCAGGCGTCGGTCCATTCCTCTCAGAGGATGTGTACATGGGAGGGTTTGGCAACTGAGCCACAGAGAGGAAGAGGAGGAGGAGGACGAGGCGCACAAACACGCTGAAGGGGAAGGAGTTCACCTCTACGGACAGTGCCAGGGACCATCACACTCATGGTAATAGAATATAAAATGTGAAAAGGGAGGTGAAATAAAACCAGATGCAGGAAACAATACATGTAAATCATTGTGTGGCCAAGCTGGAAATGGAGCAGAGACACTGAGCCAAGAACTAAGGTGACCAGATTTATAGCTCAAAGAACATTTAACCATTCTGATCATCAAGGGCTAGACACTGGCCTATCAGGTAGCTACAAGATCTTAGGGAAGAATCAAGAAGGTTTTGAGCTAAGGTTGCTTGGCAGTGAAGGAGAAGGAGCCCGGGGAACTGTAGAACCTGCTTCCCTGCATCAAGGTGGCCTCTTCTGGAGACCAAGGACTGTGTGGTCCCTGGAAAATTGGGATTTCTGTGAGCACCTGGTGCCTGTGGTGAAACACAAGCAGGTGAACCCACCCAGCCGTTCCATGTTGTTCCTGTTTTTCTTTTCCCTGAGGCTGAAATTGCTTTGAAGTGCCAGGCCACCTCCTGAGAGACTTCATGGAGAGACCACCCCAGCCCAGCAGCAGCAGGAGGAGGAGGAAGGGGAAGAAGAGAGGGAGACTATTTTCCAACTGAAGTCAGGGAGTTATTTATGTTGGTCTCTGGCAGAAACTGAGTAATGCTCACAGTCTCAATGGGCTGCACACAGTTCACACTCAGCTTTTGCTTTGCTTTGTTTGTATTAATCTGCATTTGCAATACATAGTAATTACATTCATCTTGGAGAAAACACAGATAGCACATCTTGATACATATCCATTTTCCTACAAAGGGCTTATTTATCCTTCTTTGTGGCTGAGTAGTAGTCCATTGTGTATATATATGATGTTTTCTTTCCCCGTTCATCTATTGATGGTCATATAGGCGTCTCCAAGATTTGCCTATTCTAGTTTGCAAATAGAAGTGTTTGGCAAAATTCTGTTTCTCTTAACTCTGCATTGGGAGAAGAACACGACCTTGGCCATCTTCCCCAGAAGCATGGAACGAATTACGTTTGTGAACTGAGGCACCACTGTATATGAAAAAGGATCTGATTTGATGTGCTTTGAATATGGCAATGGGGAAAATGTACAGCTATTAAGTGAGGAGAATGGTCCATCTCATCAGACCAAACTTCATAAGTATTTAAAGGTTTGCCAGGCTCCTACAAGAAGAGGAGGGAGGAGGCCCTTGATTCTGAAGAGCACAGTAATGAACCACTTAGAAAGGGGGAAAGCTACATCAATCTGTGTAAAAATGTAAGGTCTGAGCTTTGAGGGCCTGAAGAGGAGAGGACTTGCATATCAGTGGGCACTGAAGCTGCTCGGGAAGGAGGCAGGAGCAGTCCTTTCTAGTGGTGAGCAGCAGAAAAGCAGGAACCTCACACAGGGTGCATTAAGGAAAAACAGATGCTGTTCCAAGAAGGGCAAGCTGGATTTTTGCTCTACTTTGGAACTATATCTAATGAACTCTAGCTACTGTTATCTTTCCTGTAATTAAATTTATAATTTGCTTTGGTGACGTGCTTAATCAACTCGATTTCACATTGTTTGCACTGCTAAAAATTAAAACCTCATCACTGAGCCCAATCTGGTTGAAGTCTGCTTTATAGCTACGAATGCCTTAAGAGGAATCATAGAGGAGAGACTGCCTTCTGCTCCTGGGTGAAGAGAGAGAAAATTCTGGCATTCGAGCTTGGTGCAAGTACAAACTTGGATCAGCCTAATAGCTTAAATCTGTTCTCCATATCAATTATAATAGGAATAACTGCTTTGTATGATAAAACTTCGGAAGCAACCAACAGTTCCTTTGTCACCTTATTAATGCCTCCCCCCAAAAAGATGTTTCTGGAAATTATCTATGCAGTTGTCTGGAAGACAAAGGTGTTTGGAGTCAGAGAGCCCATGGTTGGGAGCTGAGCTCCCTCTCTAGCTAGACCTAAAATCCGGGGCAAGTTATTAAATCTCTCAAAATGTCAGCTTCCACCGTGACAAAATGAGGTTACCAGCATTTTTCTATAAGAGGTTCCAGTGAGACTTAGATGACAGAAGATTGCGAGCTGCTTACTTGAGAACAAAATATATTGAAGAGACTTTTCTAGAGAAGGGCAGGGGGTCAAATCTGATCCAGAGACTTGGGGAAATCGAATTAACAGCTCAGAATGGAACGCACCCCAAGCTACCCAGCATGCCCGTGTGTCTAACATCTAACGGCGACATGAGTTCGGTGAGGTTTCATCCACTCTACAACACTGCCATTTTTCATGTCCTTTCCTACCAGTACTGAGCTAGACTGTAAACTCCTGGGGACCTAGAACCATATCAGTGTTTTGCCATGAAATACATAGCCAGAGTGAGTCACTGCCCAGGAAGTATTTTTTTATTGAATAAAGCAAACAAATAAATATCTTCAGTGGATAATGGAAGCTCATTTAGAAGAATGCCTGGAACTCTAAAAGACCAGAGTAAGAGAAAAAAAAAATCTTGTGAGGCATTTAGAGTACCACCGGCCTTACAAAAGAGGAGGGAGCACGGGGATGCAGTTTCCGGTGATGCATGGCAGGCTCTGGGCACATCACATAGCATGGATCAGAGGGCGCAGGCCCAATAACACAAGAGTGGGTGCTAAGATTCCACGATCCCGAGGTACAGCAATTCCCCACTGGGCTTGCACTTGTCTTGAATTATTTACCAGTATATCGCCTAATAGGGGGAATAGAAGAATCGTGTGGCTTTTGTATGGGGACAAGAGTCTGCAAGTTGTAATTAATCCATCTCTGGGAGATCAATGGGTCACAGCAGAGCTAAAGTCCATAAATTATTACACTTAATGTTCTTTATGGCACCATGAAAGTTTCATGGTGTGAGAAACCACATTTCCAAAAAGAGCAGTGGGTGGGAAATACTCCAAAATTGATCACCTCTGCTTCCTGTAAGGTGGCATTTCTTTCGGGCCACATTAGGACCAATCACTGCAAGCTCCATTGGGGAAAGAACAATGTCTCATTCTTTCCTCTTTCCCAAAGTCTCGCAGCAAGTCAAGAACATGGCAGGTGTCTGAAAAGGTGTTTTGAGGACAGTAGAGGATTCCATGCATCCCAGCAAGTCTCAAATGGTGCACTTAAGTAACAAGAATTCCAATTTGTATGTGAAAAGATAGAGCTGATTTTCTCAGCTGGGTGTTGTGGTGCACGCCTGTAATCCCAGCACTCGGGAGGCTGAGGCAGGAGGATCGCTGTGAGTTCAAGACCAGCCTGGGCTACAAAGTGAGTTCTGGGTCAGTCTCAACTACACAGTGAGACCCTGTCTCAAAACAAACAAACAATCAAAGATTTTCTCATGAGACAAAATGAGGTAAGACACTACAGAAATACTGATCTTTCCATATAAGGGTTTGAACTGTCCAGTCTCAGTAAGAAATGTGCATAGCATGGTATACTGAACTAGTTATACAATTTATGCATAATTTATTCATTCAGTGCAGAATTTTCTCACTTCCCATGTCCAAATTTCTCCTTAGCAAGGTGAGCTCATCCCCCAGTACCAACTCCTGCAGGTTTTCTGTGTTGGCTTCATGAGGACCTCAGCGCACCTTTCTGAGTTAATATCGTACTTTAAAGGCTTTTCTTTCGCTTCACTTATAACTATCTCACTTAATGTAGCATTAAAACCAATCTCTCCCACTGAATCAGAGCATATTTAAGTCTCCTCTGGGTATCCATCGATGCAAAGCAGCTCCAAACTCATTATTTACAACCATTCCCAATCATGATTTCTACGGGCCAGGAGTTGGAGAATCACTGTCTGTGCCACTCACTGCTTGGAGTCTGTTTGTTGTAGGCTCTGGCTGGAGATGGAGCAGAAAGAAGACAGCTACAGCACAACCTGGGATCTCTTCCTTCTGGGGACTCTGCACCTCCCTGAGTGCCCTCCACAGGACTTAGTTAGGGATTCCTCACATATGACAGCCTCAGATTTCTTAAATGGCAGGCCAAGCCAGATGTGGAGGCACACACCTGCAATCTCAGCACTCTGGGAAGAAGCTCACAAATCTGAGCCCAGCCTGGGCAACATTAGTAACTCAACAAGATCCTATCTCAAAGTAAAAATAGAATGTAGCTCAGTGTGGTGGCCATGGGTTCAATTCCCAATATTGGAAAAAGAAAATAGTAGCTCAAATTCCCAACTCAAGTGACCCAAGAAAGCCAGAAGTTTCTTTGCCTTTTCTGACCTGGTTTCGAGTGTCACAGTTGTACTCAATCAGCTGAGTCAGTAGCAAAGGTGTAAGAAGTTCAAGGACAGAACATGTAGGTGCTATCTCTGGACAAAGGAAAAGCCAAAGCTCTGGAAGGGCATGGGAGGTAGGAAATAATTTTGAGATCATTATCAGAACATGAGTTCTCTCTTCTGCACATTTTAACATCCCTATTCCTTAACACTGGTTCTGTGTGCTTGGTTTGAGATCCGAAAATGTTTTCAACATGAGTAAATTAATAACAGTTCTCAATTCGAATAACAACATTATCTCCTGAAAACATTTGATCCAACAGACTTTCCTTATGTAATACGCAATTATTGGCTTTTGTCTAAAAGACAGGGTTATGGCTGTATCTAGAGGTCCCCCCAAAGCCTCACACAGTTGTAGGTGGGGCCTTTTCAGAGGTGGTCAAATCTAGAGCGTGTGATGGATTATTGGGTTACAAGTGTGTGCATCCAGCATAAGAATCGAGATTCCATATGTTTATTGACTGATCCCTCACAATGAATATATTTGTTATGTATTCCAAACATACTAATAAAAAAGGGGAAAAAAGATGCATTTTTATATGGACCCTAGTAGTCAGGATGAATTATATATGTAACATTTCTCCTGCCAAATAAAATCCAAATCAGACTGGTGAAATCTCAATTTCAATTATTCTTAAATTTATTTGAGTAGCTAATAAAGAGTATTTTAATTTATGGGTCTCATAAATTATGGTCTGCCTTTAATCAGACCAAATGTACCCATCTATTTTTATTTCCACTCTCTCCTAGCTAAAGTTCAAATTCCAATTAAGCAAAATGATGTTTCTTCCCACTTGAACCAAGTCCACCTCCATCCCCCCGCTTTCCAACTACCTGGCATTTCCCCCCTCTTTTGCATAATGATAGAAATTTTATCAGTTTCTTAAGTTCCGGTTTCTGTTTCATTTCCACCTGTTTTAGTCACCTTCTAGTTGATGAGACACATACCCTGTACCTGCAACTCAAAAGAGGAGAGGTTTATTTGGTCTCACCTCTTTCAGAGGATTCAGGCTACCATCAGCTGGCCCCAAGGCAGGAAGAGCGTGGCGGACGGGCCTGGGTGGAGGAGAGCTGTTCATAGCACAGTGGCCAGGAATCGGAGAGAGAAGAAGGAACTTGGGAAGGAGATAGACCATCTGGGTCACACTCTCAGTGGCCCCCTCTTCACACAGGGCCTCATCTCCTAACAGTGCATTCAGCTGTGGATTCTTCAGTAGCTCAGTCCACCGATGAGTGTAGCACTTTTGTGATCTAGTCACCTTCCAAAACCCAACCTGCATGCATAACCAAACCAAAACAACACCCGCACATCGTTCTGTCTCATGGAGGTGTGGTGGAAATAGTATAGTATAAATAATGTGGAGCTAACTCCTTAGAGATGATTTGCAGTTTTTTTCATGGTTAAAGCCCTTCATCTCCCTCGTGTACAATGAGGCTAAGTGTATACCCCCGAGAGGTCCCATCAAGTGAGCAGTCAGGAAGTGCTTGTGTCCATTAAGCCCACGAATCACACTAGCAACTGCACAAAGTAAAGTCACTATGACAAAGCCTGCACCCTCAAAGGCACCTGAGTCTTTCAGGGGAGACAGATTATTAAGCTGACAATGATCCCACCAAGTCTTGGGGACATATGGCTCTAGGACTATAGAACAGCCTACCTGATAAAGGCAGCAAAAATATTTATCTGTGTGTGTGTGCGTGTGTGTGCGTGCGTGTGTGTGTGTGTGTGTGCACACATGGTTCTGGGATTGAACTCAGGGCCTTCACTGTGAGCTACATCACCAGCCTTTTCTTTATCTTTTCTTCCTTCTTTTTTTAAGATAAGTTCTCACTATGTTACTAAATGTCCCAGGCTGGGCTTGAACTTTGGATCCTCCTGTCTCAACCTAAAAGCACTTATCTAAATTATAAGGTACATCTGCATTCCTCTTGCCAGTGAGGAATGCTTGGGTAAATGCAGAATGTCTAAATGTACACAGAGCTCTCCCACCTCCCCAGAGTGTGCTGGTGAGGGCCAGTCCTGGGTGCCCTCCCGCAACGGTGGTGGCTGTGGGTTCTCACAGGAGAGCTGAAGTGTGACCAACGTCACATAATGGGTGATAAGTAACGGAGACCACCATGGTGTCCACTCTCCTCTTGATGGAAGCAGAGGCAGAACTAACAATGTACTTAATCTGGATGCCGCAGATAACGAGGTCACGGGAACTGATTTAAATGCATTCGTGAGCTGCTTCTCCAAATTAAAGAATTTGGGAATTGAGAAAATTCTGAGAAACCCTAATGCCTCATGCACTGTATGTTCACACCGAATGATTAGGCATCTGAATTCCCTAAACATTAAGTCTCAAGAAACATACAAGGATATGGGCAGTTGCTTTAGTGAGAGGCAAATATTCGGATCCAAGGTAACAAGAACAGACAGACCCAAAGACAGCTAGCATTTCCCACTGTGCAGCTCACCACTAAAAGGAATCACAGGCTTCAAGGAACAATTTCTGAAAAATACTTTCAAGTGTGAATGGGTTAGAACCATATTTCAAAGTGTCTTGGGTTTCTATTGAAAAATCCAAAGTCTTATGGATTAGAATTGATTTAAGTATCTATTCTAAAGATAGAACTTCCTTTTAAAAGGACTTAATGGACCTAAAATCTCAAGAGAGATAGGCCAATGTAGGTATTTTAATCAGGAAAGAAAGAAGGTAGTAAGAGGGCAAGAAGAGAGGGACAAAAAGAATCCACGCCTTACCTGGACTACTGGAAATGTTTACCTAGAGAGGGAAAAGATTTATACTATGGTCCTTTTTAGCATCTACTAGAAGATAAATGGTACGAGATGTTTTTGTGCACTAAATCAACAGGCTTTGCACGTTTTTTATACAAGGAGTTTTGGGATTGGCGGTTGGGTTATAACGTTGGCTGTCATCTCATTCAAATCCAGTTTGTTACAAGCAATAACAATGAGGAGGCATAGGAAGGAAGGCCCTCTCTGTAGACTATGCAGCAGACATGATCTCAGGTCTGAGGAATAAAAGAACAGGAACTGCGGCAAATGCAGGCCTAATACCATCAGGCTCAAAAGACATAGCTTTCAGAAACCTCAATTTCCATGTAAGTTGGCCATCTTTGAGGAAATGCATCTAATAATATTTCCTCAATGAATTTCAATAAATGAAACACACTGGCTACAAGAGGAGGAAGAGAAATACAGTAATACGAACATTCAAGTCGCGAAGTCTCACAGATACGAACCGCCCTCTGGTCACAAACGCTCAGAGATGGGAACACAGTGCAGGAGTCGCTCACTCGCCAGCCGGACACCGTTAACAGTTGCGCTGCTGTGTGTTTCCTGTGGAGTAGCTCAGCGCTCAGTTAGAGCCCCGGATGTCCGGAAGCGGAAAGGAGAAGCACTGGTGATGGGGAGGGGACCGCTGGGTAGCACGAAGCCACGTTTGTGTCGCTTAATCAGATTTATGAGTGAGTCTGGTTTACGAACCTTCTCCCCAAACAGAAGTCATTTGTAAGTTGGGGGCTCACTGAATACGGTCAACTGGCTGCTTTTTTTGTTAGTTATGCAGCATAGTGTTTGCAGGGAGACATTTATGTACATGCATATAACGTTTTTTATTATATCTGCCTCTTCCATCCCTCCTTCTCTCCGCCGGGTCCCCTCATAAATTCCACATATGAGAGAAATGTGTGATCTTTGTCTTCCTGGATCTGGCTTATTTCAAGTACCACAATGATCTCCAGTTCAGTTTCTTTTCCTGCTAATGTCATCATTTCGTTCTTCAGGTCTACAGAGTACTCCACTATTTGTGTACACCACACTGTCTTCATCCATTCCTTGCCAGTGGGCCCCTAGGCTGCTGCCAAAGCTGAGCTGTTGTGAATGGGGCCAAGAACACAGGGCGTGCAGGTGTCCCTACAGCCTGCTGACTTTAATTCCTCCAGTTATACACCGAGCAGTGATGCAGATGGATCGCATTTGCGGCTTTACTTTTAAATATTCGAAGAATCTCCATACTGATTTCCTTAGTGGCTGCACTCCTTTACATTTCTACCAGGAGTACTTAGGGTCCCCCCAACCTCCTCACTAGCATTTTTTTTTTAACCAGGGATCAGACTTGGGACCTTGCTCTCACAAGGCAGGTGGCAGAACCACTGAGCTAAATGCCTGGCCCTCTTTTCTGTATTCTTGATGATAACCATTCTGACTAGGGTGCGATAGAAACTATGTAGTTGTTTACTTGTTTGTTTGTTTTAGTATTTCTTGTTTCTTGGCCATGGGGACCTTTAGCTGGAGCTACATCACTATTCCTTTATTTATTTATTTATGTCGAAACACGTTAAGTCACTAAGTTGTCTGCTGTAGATGGGCCTGAATTTGCAACCTCCTGCCTCTGACTTCTATAGTCTTGGGATTATATGCATAGATCACCATGCCTGGCTTCACTATAGTTTTGATTTGTATATTCCAAACGAGTGAAGATTCTACTGGTATCTTTGACTGAATACAGATAATCAAAAATTGGTTCTGAAGGAACCAATAAAGTGATTCTGAAGAAAAAATATTCTGCTATATGATTAATGCCAGAATTCAATTTTTTTATAACTCGGGTTATTATTACTGTAATATTAGCATTGAAAATATGTTGTCATTACAAATTTTAGAAATTGAAATTGAGAGTTTTGTGGAAATCACAGTAGTTATTTCCTTAATCATTGGGATCAATAGCATTATTTTATAATATTTCTGTAAAACAAAATCCTTGATTTTGAAATACTTAAATTTATTGCATGGGTTAAAACATCCCACAGTTGAAAACTGACCAAGTGAAAGAGTTGGGTACTCTCCTTCCTTGTGGAAGTATCCCTGATCAGGACACACACCTGAAGGAGATGGCGGCAGACCCTATCTCCAAAAGGGTGTGGGCCTCTAGGTTTGGTGGTGCACTCCTGTAATGCCAGCACTCCAGGAGGGGAAGGCAGGAGGGCTGTGAGTTCAGGGCCAGTAACAACTTAGCAAGACTGTCTCAAATAAAAATGAGAAAGGGGCCAGAGACATAGCTCAGAACAAAAGCCCTGAGTTTAAACCCAGGTACTAGAAAAGGAAGGAGGAAGAGGAGGAAGAAAAGGAAGAGAAGGAGGAGGTAGAGGAGCAGGAAGAGGAGAAACAGGAGGGGAAGGGGAAAGGAAGAGCCTGGAGCAGCATTTCATTGGTGAAAATAAAGCAGAGAATATGTAGCACATGAAAGCTTCACACACACATTCGAAGGCTGTTTCAAGACACTGTAAATAATCATGGGTGTCACTTAAGAAAACCTAAGTGCCGAAGTGGCAGGGACTCTGAGCCCTGAACACTTTTCCTGTTTCCTGCAGGTCCAGTGGCAGATAGGGTGTAGATCTAGGGTTTGTGTGAACTCACGGTGGTCTTTAGCTTCGGCCCAGCGGCACAGGGAGCAGAGGGGAAGTCACTTCAATCAAGACCAGGAAAGACTTTGCTTGGAAAAAGAGATGGTGGCGTTACAGAAGAATTGCTGGTAAATCTGTATGGGGAAGAAATAAAAGGCTCCAATGCTGTGAGGTTATCGGACTCTTAGAGGAAGAGGCCAAATGAATGTGGGAGATAAAGCATGTCAGAGTTGGAATACAGGAAAGTGGAAGAGTGCATCCCGGGACGCTGTGTGTCTCGGGAGAGGAAATGAGACTTTAGAAAGAGAGGGAGGGAAAAGAACAGATCTTAAACCTCTCAAGGAGGACGCACTTCAGCAGCAGGTGCTAGAAAACAATGACTTTCCAGTTTTTATAGAGTTCGCAGTTCCCACTCAGCGTGTGAACTGGAAGCGTGGAGATGCTTAGAATTTGTCCTCAGAGATGCAGGCCTTGCTTTCTGGATGGATGCCATCCCGAGCAAGTCTCCTAATCTCATTTTTCTCTTTAAAATTAGGATAAATCCATTTCCCACCAGGTTCCCTCCTTGTGAACATTTATGTACAATCATATGGTTGGTGCTGGGGAATCAGTTGAGGAATTCCTTTGCTTTCTTTTTTTTTTTTTTTTACTGGGGATTGAACTCGGGTCCTTGCGCTTGCAAGGCAGGCCACCGAACCGCTGAGCTAAATCCAAAGCCCTTCCTCTGCTTTCTTACACCCTTTAGGTTCTCTCTGTAGCCTTATAAGGACTATTTGCCGATTGTTATTATTTTCGTGGCTTCCATGAAAGAGTGTCACTATCCATGGATTCTTGTGAATAGCACCATTAATCGCCATATTAATTGCCCATCACAGAATGGATGTTTGTGTTTCTGAAAATATAACCAAGGTACTGGGGTGGGTCCTCACAAATTAGGGGCTGGTATTGGGATTAAATGGCAACACAAGTGTGAACTTTGACCTAAGCTACCCAAACAGCCCTGCCCATAAAATATACAGGGAAGTGTCACGACAGTGCACACCTGCAATCCCAGCACTCTGGGAGGCTGAAGCAGGAGAAATGCACATTCAAGTTAAACTCTTGAGATTTTAGGTCCATTAAGTCCTTTTAAAAGGAAGTTCTATCTTTAGAATAGATACTTAAATCAATTCTAATCCATAAGACTTTGGATTTTTCAACAGAAACCCAAGACACTTTGAAATATGGTTCTAACCCATTCACACTTGAAAGTATTTTTCAGAAATTGTTCCTTGAAGCCTGTGATTCCTTTTAGTGGTGAGCTGCACAGTGGGAAATGCTAGCTGTCTTTGGGTCTGTCTGTTCTTGTTACCTTGGATCCGAATATTTGCCTCTCACTAAAGCAACTGCCCATGTCCTTGTATGTTTCTTGAGACTTAATGTTTAGGGAATTCAGATGCCTAATCATTCGGTGTGAACATACAGTGCATGAGGCATTAGGGTTTCTCAGAATTTTCTCAATTCCCAAATTCTTTAATTTGGAGAAGCAGCTCACGAATGCATTTAAATCAGTTCCCGTGACCTCGTTATCTGCGGCATCCAGATTAAGTACATTGTTAGTTCTGCCTCTGCTTCCATCAAGAGGAGAGTGGACACCATGGTGGTCTCCGTTACTTATCACCCATTATGTGACGTTGGTCACACTTCAGCTCTCCTGTGAGAACCCACAGCCACCACCGTTGCGGGAGGGCACCCAGGACTGGCCCTCACCAGCACACTCTGGGGAGGTGGGAGAGCTCTGTGTACATTTAGACATTCTGCATTTACCCAAGCATTCCTCACTGGCAAGAGGAATGCAGATGTACCTTATAATTTAGATAAGTGCTTTTAGGTTGAGACAGGAGGATCCAAAGTTCAAGCCCAGCCTGGGACATTTAGTAACATAGTGAGAACTTATCTTAAAAAAAGAAGGAAGAAAAGATAAAGAAAAGGCTGGTGATGTAGCTCACAGTGAAGGCCCTGAGTTCAATCCCAGAACCATGTGTGCACACACACACACACACACGCACACACACGCACACACACACAGATAAATATTTTTGCTGCCTTTATCAGGTAGGCTGTTCTGTAGTCCTAGAGCCATATGTCCCCAAGACTTGGTGGGATCATTGTCAGCTTAATAATCTGTCTTCCCACTAGGGGCACAGAAGACACAAGGTGAACTTTGCACATCTCAGGAGCCACAGGGATTTAGAAGGCGTGCTCACATCCTTGAACTTCTTAGGTAACGGGGCCAAAGAAAAAGTGACGATGGTAAATTGTACTAAAATACACCTACTTCACTTTCTGGCTATCACATAGTTACAACGCTGGCTTGCGTGTCTCCACATACCATCTTGGTATACTTATAAATACCCGTAAGTGAAAATGTGAAAAGCAGGAACATATTTTTTCATGTTTGCTTCACTATTAAGGGAATGCCTTAAAAATAACTATGTCATTGATTGAACTTTTTTTTCCCAAAGCTACTTGGAGATAGTGCTATCATCTGCCGTGGTTATTTTTCCCCTCTGCTCTGAGCTTGTAGAGGGTTTTAAATCTGTGAGGCTTAATTGAGATCTGCCATTCACTCTGCACAGAAAACCACAAGGAAAAGTGTCTTGCCCAAGGACACCACTATCAGTAGTGAGACTGGGACTGAGTACCCAATCCCCAGAATTTTTTAATGACCCTAGACTACACCAACCACAACCTCTTTGAGAGCGACAGTTGATTCTCCATCTTGGGCTAATGGAATCACTGGGGAGCTTTTTAAAATCCCAGCATCCTGCCACAGCCTGCACTGAGGGCAGCAGGATTTCCAGGACTGTGTCGCGGTAGTTCTGCCTTTGCACAGCTGACAAAGTTGAGAATGGCTCTTCTCCAGCCATCATTTCCCAGCGCTGTAAGATAGTACTGAAATTTACATTAAGTGTAAATAATAATGGCTCCATCTGTCGAGCACTTGCTCTATTTTTTGAGAAACATGTCAAAGTTTGTCTGCTTTGTTTTGTTTGATTTCACTTATTAGGTAAGTGCTACTATTGCTCCCATGAAAAACATGAGCAACCTGATACTCCTACAGCTTAAAGTCCTTCCTCAAACTCACAGAAATCTAGTAAGTCCTAGTCAACAGTAGACACAGAGCTCTTGTG